CTCCCACGAAGAACCAGAAGCATAATGAAGTCTAAGAGTAGGTTTGTTGCTAGTTTTCCCTCAGAATCAGGGGTCACGATGTTTGAAATTATGTTAATATTCAAGCTAGCTGAATCAAACTTGGCGCACATACTCAAGCACTGCGGTCGGGTGTCCAAACGGAAAGTTTTGAACTCAACCCCTTTGAGTTGTCTATAGAAGTAACTGGGAATAATGGGGGAGTTTGATCAGTATATTAGAACCTTTGTAAGTCATGAGGGGGCTTTTGAAACCCTCAGCGAAAAATAACTGTTTTTGTAAGACTGGACTTTGTAATGGAATTCTCCACCTTGTTTCTTGGGGATTTAAAAATAAAGACTTTTTATTGAAAAAAACCATATGGATTTTTTTAATCTGAAAAATATAAGGAGCACAGACAGAATAGCAAAAATTACAGGTAATCTGATAGTTAAAATAACATTAAACACACATAATTACGAATGAAATTCGTAAGAAAAACCTCGTAATGTGACTACTGGAACTTAGGTGATTTTATACAAAAATAATTTCATCTCTAAAAACTGGGATGAAAAAAGACACGTGATTAAAATTTTAAGATTGTTTTTTCTAAAAATATATTTTTCAAAATAATACGAAAGTCAAGAGTTGCTACTTCGAGCTTCACTAGATCTGTGACACTTTTCCGAATCTTCAATTCTCTACCTCTTTTCCTACGTTTCACTATTTTGTCATGCTGTTTCTTTACGTTTGTGAAACTTTACAGTTTCGTCATTTCCAATCTTTCAGTTCCCTGTTCAGAAGATTCGTTGAATCTATGAAACTTTCTCGGATCCTCATCTCTAACCTTTAACTCCTTTGTTCCGAAGTTTCGCTACTTCAATGAAACTTTCTCTGATACTCGTCTCCAGCCTTTAACTCATTTGTTCCGAAGTTTCGCTACTTCAATGAAAGTTTCTCTGATACTCGTCTCCAGCCTTTAACTCCTTTGTTCCGAAGTTTCGCTACTTCAATGAAAGTTTCTCTGATACTCGTCTCCAGCCTTTAACTCCTTTGTTCCGAAGTTTCGCTACTTCAATGAAACTTTCTCTGATACTCGTCTCCAGCCTTTAACTCCTTTGTTCCAAAGTTTCGCTTCATCTATGAAACTCTCCCAGATCCTCATCTCCAACCTTTACCTCCTTTGTCCATAAGTTTTGCTGCAACTTTCAAACTTTCTTACTTCCTTCGTTTTACTTTACTGTCATGTAGAATTTGCTTTGTCCTGTGAAGAACATTTTTTTAGCAAATAAAGAGCAAATTAGCACGCATATTAAACTTCGTGTTGGGTAGCACCTTACACAACAAATCTAATTCCCTTATCGTCGCATGTAACAGCAAACTTTAGTACTTATGCTCATCACCACATACAAATCTTCAGCACGTATTGTTATTCAATTACTTGTATTTTATATACGCAGCTGTTCACTAAGCCTCGTACAGCACCTCAGTAAACTGTGCTATTCATGTTTGACTACTTTCAATAGCGATTAATTTTAGATAGGGCATATTTCATTCTACAATATACGATATTTCATTTATCATTTATTATTTTCTGAAATAACTTAAGACAAATCAAATGGCTTGGCCTCAGTAGAGGTACCGTAATTTGGGTAGAACAAACTCTAGCTATGATAATAGGCTTAAGATATTTATTTTCGTCTTTTATAATCATCCTGTTGTAAAGCAGTATCCTTAATATATAGATCAAGCATTTAGTTGAATTATCCTTAATATATAGATCAAGCATTTCGTAGAATTATCTTTAATATACAGATCAAGCATTTCGTGGAATTATCCTTAATATACAGCTCAAGCATTTCGTGGAATTATCCTTAATATATAGATCAAGTATTTCGTAAAAATTATCCTTAATGTATAGATCAAGCATTTAGTTGAATTATCCTTAATATATATAGGTTAAGTATTTCGTAAAAATTATCCTTAATGTATAGATCAAGCATTTAGTTGAATTATCCTTAATATATATAGGTTAAGTATTTCGTAAAAATTATCCTTA